ATTGTGAATAATGGATAAAGCCAGCCAAATGTTAATTACCAAGCAGTCCACATCGTTGTAAACTAGCATTTCCACATTATTAGTTATCCTGGTAAGATTCCCTCATACACTAAATGCTATATGTGTTGAAATTGCTAAATGTTCTTAAAATTGTATTATTCTTTAAACTGGTAGCCCAGGTGGTCAACCATAAAGATCTCCAGATGGGCTTCACAAAAGAAAGGTGGAAGGAGTCTCTGCTCTGGTTGTGTGGATAGCGATGGTAGTTCCAGGGACGAATGTAGAAGCAGGCGACTGAAGATACACGATCACCCCACTGGAAAGACACTATTCTGGGGCCCGTTAGCACAATACCCCTACAGGGACTGGGACTTAAGATGAAGCTGCTTGTTAACCAATTCAATACACCTTCCTGCCCAGGCCAGTTTTCAGGTTTCAGCGCTCTCACACTTTGAATGACAATTGCGCGGTCATACAACATTGTACCCAAACTAAAATTGTATCATTTTCTTCACACAACTAGAGCTTTCTTTTGGTGGTATTTAATCACCGCTGGGGTTTTTATTTTTTGCTAAATTAACAAAAAAAGACCAAATATGTTGAAAAAAACACGTTTTTCTTTGTTTCTGTTATAAAAGTTTGCAAATAAATAATTGTTCTTCATAAATTTAGGCCGAGATGTATTCTGCTACATGTCTTTGGTGAAAATAACCCAAATTAGGCTGTATTTAGTTTGTAGGAAAGTTATAGAGTTCACAAACTATGGTATAGATCTGAATATTGATCAATCCTGAAGTACTGACAGCCAATCTAATTTCTTGAGGTCCAAGAATGTCAGAACAGTACAGATATCCCCCAAATGACCCCTTTTTGCAGAGTAGACAGTCCACGTACTTCATAAGAGGCATGGCGAGTTTTTTGAAGTTGAATTTTTTTGTAATTTTTTTTTGGAAAATTAAAAAATTAAAAAAATTAGTTTCACAATTTTTTTTTTACATATTGTCACCAGTGCAGTACAGCATCATCATATAACTGGCATGGCAGTGATCAGGGACACTGACTAGTGACAGTATGAAAAAAAAAAAATATATATATATATTTTTTTTTTATTATTTTTTTATTACTTTTTTCTTTTTTTTAAGATTTTTTTTCATATTTCACTATGACCAAAGTAGTACAATGTTACCATAGTAACATTGTACTACTTTGGGGAAGTGATCAGTATTTTTTTTTTTTTACACAATTTACTTATAACAAAGAATTACTTTGCTAAAAGCAAGCATTTACCTGAATGACATCGATTCATTCAGGGTTTTTTTTTTTTTTTGTGCTTATCTGTGATTTGGCCACAGCTAATCACATGACATGTGCATGTGATTAGCTGTGACCATTCACAGCTAGACACTAGTATACAATAGATGGCATGAATGAAGCCATCCATTGTATACAACTGTCATGTGACCTGCTGTGATTGGTCACAGCAGGTCACATGGTACCGGCAACGGGGGCCGACACTCAGATATGTCATCGGCCATGTCCGAGGTACACGGCCAGTGACAGATCGCGCCGCTGCGCGGCTCTGCAGGAGCGTGATCTCCGCATGTGCGGGAGGACGCCATATGGCGTCCACCCGGAACGCTGCTGACATTTGCCAGCCGCCATTCGGCCATAGGGTGGGCGGCAAATGGTTAAACATGTGCATTTTGTAACAATTCAATTTTTGAATGAAAATTTGATATTCAGAGATTCAGATATATACAAATCTCTGAATGGACATAGTAACAAATGTGAACGAATCCAAAGAAAGTTATTACAAATTTAGCGAATGCATTTGTTTCATTTGGATGACGTCACATGATGCAATAGTAGTTCGGGCCTACGGGGAAATAAATGCAATTTTCAAATTGGTTTGATAATTCGGATTCAAGTAAATTTGTGTTCTAAATTGAATTTGTGAAATTGTCACAGTCAGTCCGTTCAGTTACACAGTGTAATGCAATTCTTCATTTTGCATTATTTATTCCGGTGCATCCAAAAATATTGAATAGTTTTGATATGTGAATAAGGAATCCACCTGAAATATTGAAACCGAAAACTAATATATACCAATCTTTCAAAAAAAAAATGCAGACTTTTTCTAATCCACCCAGACCAATGAATGCCGAAGATACAAAATGAATTCTGAAAATTAATCGGTTCGACATAAAGAATATGACAAAAAAAAAAATTCTTCAATGAACGAATGCATTTGAAACGCAATGAGAATTTCCGACATGCACATGAGAGCAAGAAACAATGGAAGTTATATCCCTTGTGCGCTTTTGGGAGTCCTGCGGATTGTTGGAGCCCATTGTATCATGGAAAATTAGATTTAAAGGGTTTAAGAGTTAAGAAGGACTTCACTAGACTATTTTGAACTGTCCCTGTACCAGTGACCATATTTTTGGGTAGGGTTTCTAATTCACAAAAAGATCAATGTCCACCCTAGATCTCATCAGCTTTTGGAGCTAAATGTGTAGATAAAAAAAAAAACCTACGAGTGACATTTGTATGCTTCTTGTCCTTCAGGCTGAATTGCTTTATGTGGACAAGTAACATACAGTATACAGTATAAATCCTCCAGGCTACATTGTGAATGAATTAAATAGCTTCCTTTTTAATTTTCGTATCACAAAGTTTGGAAGCCACTGCGACCTAACAGGCATGCCTGCCCTAAATCATTGCAACATACCATGTCAACCACTTTGTTTAGTCACCACCCATCAAAAAAAAACAGGGTGTGCAATGAACAATATACAAAGAGTGTTCCAACTCTCAGCTTGCACACCATGTACTAGTATACACTGGAATTCTCAATAAAAATGGAAGGTTGTGTTTTTATATGGCCACATAATTAAGATCATTTGACCAGCTGATACAATGTTTCCATACATGAACTCAAAATGTACTGTAGCTAAAAATAATTACATTTAAGTTTTCCCTAAGTGTGAATACCCATGCGATCCGATTCTAGTGCAGACCAAAAAAAGGGTCCTGCACCTTTTTGGTGTGGATGCGGTGCGATTTGAGCTATACAAAATGTATGGCTCCAATCGCACTGCACACAATTTCCATGTGATTTTTACAGGAATGCGGTGCAGTTCCTGTGAGAATCACATGCATTATACCGCACCGTATATGTGTGAACCCAGCCTAAGCGTCTTAGTAAATGTCACTGTAGTATAACTGAAATTATTTTGTTAGGTTTGTTCAGTAAATTGCGCAATCAGCAAAATGCAGCAACCAGTCAGAATCCATTACTGCACTGATTTCAGTGAAGTGAATTCTTAGTGGTTTTGCTGGTACATCCAACATGCCACCCCCCCCCCCCTTTCACTCAGGTTGACCAGTTGTCTCCATATGATTTTTAGCGTTGGAATACCATGTGTATTGTATTTATACTGGCTGCCTTAAGTTTGCATGTTCTTATGTACCTTGCCTTGTTATACTTTTGTACGATTTCAATAAACGCAACTGTTAAAAAAAAAAAATCCAACATGCCAAAAACTGCCCTTGTATGTGTAAGGTTTCTGTGGTAGTGAGTCCTTGTAGAACGCCAACTTAGGGTCCCCCAGGATGCGCAATCTAAGCCTCTTCCTGCTTCTTTACTCAAGGCCCCTGATGGTGGGAATGGACTTGCAGTAACCTGGAAGCAGGTTGCGGCCCCCAGGTATATCCATCTGACAATGCGGAGACAACTCGCGTGTGCAGAGTACAGACAGCAAGAGACAGAAGAGGATCTGAGAAATAAGCTGGGGTCAGAGCAGGCGGGAGACAAGCAAAAATGGTAGACGAAGCCAGCAAACCAGGAGCTCAACTAGGAGGTTGCTCAGGCAGTACTGGCTGCTTTGAGCATGTCTTACATAGAGAGGCAGACAGAGAGGAGGGCCAGGGTGTGATAGAAGGGGAAGGGATATAAGTCTACAGCAGAGCAGGCAAGACCTGTAGGTGGACAAAGGTGAGCAGCACATGTGAATAAAAACATAGGTCACCTCAGCAAGGAGGTAATAATTTCACAGGCAGGAAAACTCCAGTAACCAAACCGTATTCGCACACTTCATAAAATATAATCTCGCAGTGTATAATGGCATTAAAAAAAAAAAAGTATACTGTCCTTTGAGTTATTTAGATTCAGATTGGGCATGATACCCATCTCTCAGAGTTGTAGGAAAATATGGTAGGATATTGCTTTAACACTTATTTTATTAATTCTGAAATGATAGAGGGTAGATAGAATGATTCTGATTTAGGTTTAACCATGTCTGGGTTGTGGAAAAAAATAAAAAAGCAGCATTTCAGGGATTTGCCACACTGTTCCATTTCATGATCACATTTCCCTCTAATATAAGCCTATAATGATAACCATTATGATATTATCATTTCAGGTACTTATAGAATACACTCATTTTCTAAGACCTATGGATCGTTATAGGCACAAAACTGTGTGCAAATATTTGGCGTTCTATCACAGCTTTTTCACATGTTTTATACTCATCACACCAGAATGCGAAGTTATCAACCGGAAAAAAATTATTTTTTTTTGCATTAAAAAAATAGTTGCTGACTTTTAAACTTGATCTTAACCCTTAGGGCTCATTTACACTTGTAGCATTGGAGACACTTCTTTAATGTACTCTGCATGCCAGTCAAAGCTCCGGTCACTAAAAAAAAATGGTAAGCTTACAGTACTGTTTACATTTTGCTCTTGCTTTGCTTCAAAAATTATCCTCCATGTTGCTTTCTTGGTGCCTCAAAGCGTCTCAAAAGCCTCCATAGAACTCTCTTTCCGGCGGGGGACCTGAGATAGGCTGAGCAGACATGAAGCTTAATATCTCTTTCCCAGCTACTGGCTGCCAGAAGTTGATTGAAGTTGATGATGAACGCAAGCTGATCCCTTGGGTGAGGAATGGAAGGGATATGTTGTGCGCATCAGTGGAGGCAACGATAAGCAAGGTTTCCCCATGAAACAGGGAGTTCTCACCCACGGACGTGTTCGTCTGCTGCTGAGCAAGGGTCACTCCTGTTACCGCCCCAGGTGGACCGGCGAGCGCAAACGCAAGTCTGTGCGTGGCTGTATTGTAGATGCCAACTTGAGTGTGTTGAACTTGGTGATTGTCAGAAAAGGTGAGAAGGACATCCCAAACAACACTGTTCCACGTCGTTTGGGTCCTAAAAGGGCAAGCAGAATCCGCAAACTCTTCAACCTGTCCAAAGAAGATGATGTGCGCCAATATGTGGTTAGAAAGCCTCATGCTAAGGAAGGGAAGAAGCCCAGGACTAAGGCCCCCAAAATCCAGCGTCTTGTAACACCTAGAGTTATTCAACACAAGCGCAGATGTATTGCCCTGAAGAAGCAGCGCACTCAGAAAAATAAGGAGGAAGCAGCAGAGTATGCCAAGCTCCTTGCTAATAGAACAAAGGAAGCCAAGGAAAAGCGCCAGGAGCAGATTGGCAAAAGGTGTAGACTTTCATCACTGAGAGCCTCCACATCTAAATCTGAATCCATCCAGAAGTAAAGCCTCATGGTTTAAATAAATTTTTGTTGTAAATGAAAAAAAAAAAAAGCCTCCATAGAAGTCTATAACAAAGCTCCCTAACAGTACCTGCACTTTTTGGGGCTGTTTGTCAGAGTTAGCTTTGCTTTGTTTTGGAGGTATTGCAGGTATGAGATATCCAAGGATACACTGGGAAACCAACAAGCGAACCGGTAAGATGTAATCAGTAGTCACTTCCAGTTCATGTGTATATATAGTATTCTGGAAGCATCTGGTGGAGACATCACATCTGGTGTGCAGAGTGGAGCAGCAGGAAGGTGAGCAGGGTCTGGACTGGAGCAGAGCCACTAGCAGACAGCACACATGGTGTGCAACATGTGAATGGTATAGCAGAATGTGAGCAGGAGTCGGACAGAGAGGACAGAGCGGCAAAGGATCAATAGAGCTGGGTGAGTGGAGCAGGGGAAACTAGCAGCGTTACATGTGGTGCGCATGGGAGCAATATAGCGGGAGGTGAACAGGGACCAGAGAGAGAGAGGAGGATCAGCAAACCAGGTTATCAGCAGGGCTGGGGGTAACTACTAAGAGGGGGATCAGTAGAGCTGGGGATTACTGTTGAATGGGGGATCAGCAGAGCTGGGGGTTACAACTGAGTGGGATCAGCAGAGCTGGGGCTTACAACTGAGCAGGGGATTTGCTGAACAGGGGTACTAATGAGCTGGGGTTTTGCTGAGTGGGGGTACTACTGAGCTGGAGTTCTACTGGTCTCCTTTAAAACAAATAGAAAATCAACACACATACAGGGTATTTGCCAGGTTTCATTAAAGCAGAAATCCAGGTTAAATTTTTATTTTCTCATGCTGTGGGGCTGTGCCCGCACTGCATGGGTTAACTGCTTGTTTTGTCCATGGGTTTGGGGAAAAGCTAAACTTACCCTGTCCTCCAATCCTCCAGAAACCCACGCTCCCTCACGTCCAGCGGGGGACTGTTCCTGCCATCCTCATGCCCGGAGCTGGTCTATGGGCATGATGACATCAGGAACAGTCCATTCACAAGACTGCTAGAGTGCAGGGGGGGCAGAAGCAGCAGAGGATCAGCGGATTCAGCAAGTATATCTTCACTGTTATCATCCCTAGACAAAAATGAGCAGTTAGCCCATTCAGTAGGGGCACAGTCCCACTGCATGGTTCAAAAAATGTTTTGTCTAGAATCCTGCTTTAAAGCTTCAAAAAAGCATCACCAAAGCATCATCGAAGCATCATAGGTGCATCAAAAACACATCAAAAAAGCAATTTGAAGCGGGAGGCACTTTAATGTGTGTTAAAGTTGAATCAAGTGTAAACAAGCCCTTACTGTTCTCACTATAATGCCTAACTGTATTCCTAAAGCCAGCATTACTCCTGTAGAATTTTGTTAGAAATTGTCAAAAAAAATTATCATTCAATAATTTAGAAGTTAGAAGGGGATGATTTGAAAATTGGTTTCAGCCAAGGCTAGCAAAAAAAAAATCAAAGGACAAAGATGGAGATTTCTTTTCAAATTGGATGGGAGTAAATTAATTTCTAACTTTTGAATTAGCTCCCAGACAAGAAAAATCGTAACTAGTCTTATGCACATTCACTTGTCAAAGTTAATATGGAGGTTAGAACGTTCACTCTAGGAAAACTGGACATTGACATGGTACTTGAAGGAAAAGTTGTTCAAAATTTGTCAGTTCCATCAAGGCACCACTGAATGGTCAGAAGAGTAATTTTTTTCTTTTTCTTTTCTCTTCCGAACGTTCGACCAAAATTCTACAAGTGTAAGGTCCTTATAAGCCAGTGGTGTCAAACCTTTTGACTTTCCCGGACCACAGTGGAAGAAAAGGAATTTTTTTGGGCCACACATAAAATACACTAACAGTAAGGATAGAGGAGAAGCAGAAAAAGTCAGGCTGATCACAAGTTAACAATTACTGATATAAATAATGTACCTATCTATGTAGTAAAACTTAATCTTCTGTAATACTTTTTATTTTGAGAGAGGGCACCATAAAACTAATGTGGTATTTGACACTGTTCTTGATAACACATCAATATCTGGTTTGATGGATGTAGTAGTAATTCTCAATGAATTCTCAAGGTGCTCATCAGATAATTTGGTTCTAATTTTGCCCTTCATGTGCTTCGTCCTTGAAAATAGTTGCTCACAATTATAGGTACTGCCAAAAATTGATGACATGAATAAGGTGTGATTGTGAAGAGTGGGAGATTTTTCTTTGGGAAGATAGAGTACCGTATTTTTCGCTCCATAAGACGCACTTTTTTTTCCACCAAAAAAGGGAGGAAAATGTCAGTGCGTCTTATGGAGCGAATATAAAGCGGCCGGTCCGGTATTTCTGCCGCCAGCATGTCAGAATACCGGGCCGGCCGCTCAGCTCTTCTCTCCTGCAGGACCTTACCTGTTCCTCGCTCCAGCGCTGTAGTCTTCCCGCACTGGCTTCTGTGACAGCCAGGTGCCCACTGCACATGTGCGAGAAGTGCTGCGCTTTGTGAATGGTCCGGCGTCTTCTGGGACACATGACAGGTCCCAGAAGGCTCCGGGCCATTCACAAAGCGCAGCGCTTCTCACGCATGCGCAGTGGGCACCCGACTGTCACAGAAGCTGGCGCGGGGGAAGAAGGAAGGACAACTCCGTGGAAGTGGGAGCGGGTGCCTGTCAAATTCAGGTACCCGTTCCCCCTCCCTCCCCAAAGGTCCACAGTCTCTGATCATGCCCTGCACTGTCTGCAGTCTCTGGCCATCTGTACTATGTCCACAGTCTCTGGTCATTCCCTGTACTATGTTTGCAGTCTCTGGTCATCTCCTGTACTACGTCCGCAGTCTCTGGTCATCCCCTGTACTGTGTTTGCTGTCTCTGGTCATCTCCTGTACTGTGTCCGCAGTCTCTGGTCATTCCCTGTACTGTGTCCGCAGTCTCTGGTCGTCCCCTGTACTGTGTCCGCAGTCTCTGGTCGTCCCCTGTACTGTGTCCGCAGTCTCTGGTCGTCCCCTGTACTGTGTCCGCAGTCTCTGGTCATCCCCTGTACCGTGTCCGCAGTCTCTGGTCATCCCCTGTACCGTGTCCGCAGTCTCTGGTCATCCCCTGTACCGTGTCTGCAGTCTATGGTCATCTCCTGTACTGTGTCCGCAGTCTCTGGTCATCTCCTGTACTGTGTCTGGAGTCTCTGGTCATCTCCTGTACTGTGTCCGCAGTCTATGGTCATCTCCTGTACTGTGTCCGCAGTCTCTGGTCATCCCCTGTACTGTGTCTGCAGTCTATGATCATCTCCTGTACTGTGTCCACAGTCTTTGGTCATCTCCTGTACCGCAGTCTCTGGTCATCTCCTGTACTGTGTTCGCAGTCTCTGGTCATCTCCTGTACTATGTCCGCAGTCTATGGTCATCTCCTGTACTGTGTCCGCAGTCTCCGGTCATCCCCTGTACTGTGTCCGCAGTCTCCGGTCATCCCCTGTACTATGTCCGCAGTCTATGGTCATCTCCTGTACTGTGTCCGCAGTCTCCGGTCATCCCCTGTACTGTGTCCGCAGTCTCCGGTCATCCCCTGTACTGTGTCCGCAGTCTCCGGTCATCCCCTGTACTGTGTCCGCAGTCCATTGGTTCAGAATATTTTTTTTCTTGTTTTTCTCCTCTAAAACCTAGGCACATCTTATGGTCAGGTGCGTCTTATGGAACAAAAAATACGGTATATTAAAGTTCATTAAAGAGACACTGTAAATTTTTCTTCGGCCACTTGTGTTCGCTAAGTGTAAATGCATTTTTAGAAAACAATTGTAAAAAAATCAACATTCTTAAGTAAGTTTATGATTTGTGTTGGCGTGCATTCATAGCCATCTTGGGCCGCATGCAGCCCGTGGGTCACAGGTGGGACACCCCTGTTATGAACCTTAGAACCTTATGACCTTTATTCTATCACAATGACAACAGAATACGCACAGTGACACTAGCACAAAATATCATAATGTCAAAAACATAATTTATAAAAACTTGGGAGGCTACAATGCAACAAATCATCCATGTAAAAAACTGAGCTAACAGCAGTACAATCACATGAGCTGATTCTGTTTAAACATTGTACAATGTATCGTAGAAATTGTCCTGTTCAGTTGCATTAGTTCGCCAGAATAGCATTAGCATGAAACTTTAAACCAAGTTTGTCAGGCAGCCAGCTAGGTTGTAAACTGATGTGACTCACAATGTTTAGGGCAGCATCAGCTACGTATATACAGTGGCTATAGAAAAAAAATGCCCCCCCATAAAAATAATCACATTTTGTTGCTTTGCAGCCTGAAATGAAGACAGACACAGTTTTTGTTTCATCCAACTGTATTTACTCCTATAACATCCAAGTGAAAGATATAACACCAGCATGTCAGAAAAAAGTTGAAAAAATTAAAAAACAGAATCACTGAGTTGGAAAAAAAGTCACCCCTTGTGCTATTATTTTGTTAAACCATCTTTTGCTTTAATTCCGGCCTTCAGTCTGTTGGGATATGTCTCTCCTAACTTTGCACATCTAGACTTTGCAATATTTGCCCACTCTTCTATGCAGAATTGCTCAGGTTCAGTTAAATTTGATGGTGGCCGTTTGTGGACTGCAGTTTTCAAGTCATTCCACAGATTTTCAATGGGGTTGAAGTCTGGGCTCTGACTAGGCCATGCAAGGACATTCAACTTTTTCCCCTCCAACCACTGTGGGCTCATTTTTGCTGTGTGATTTGGGTCATTGTCATGCTGGAAGGTAAACCTTCTTCCTATTGAAAACAGAGGGCAGCAGATGTTCCTCAAGAATTTGACGGTATTTTGCCCCATCCATTCTTCCTTCAATCCTGACAAGTGCTCTAGTCCCTGCTGCTGAGAAACCCTCCATAACAGGATAACAGGAATGGTATTATTTGGATGGTGAGCTGAATTGGATTCCCACCAGACATATTGTTTAGTGTTGAGGCCAAATAATTCAATTCTGGTCTCATCTGACCAGAA